GGTGGGGTGGGGGCGCCGCGGTTGGCTCAGGTAGGAGCGGTGCCGATCCCACCCGGCCAGGGTTGACCTAACGCAGGGTGGTTGTCCACTTACCCGAGACCTTGAACCAAAGCGGAACTTTCTGAAACATGAAAGTAGTTCTTATAGAGCAACACGTAGGACACTCATTTAACGAATAGCTATGGACACCGCCTATTTGTCAGGTATCAGGAATAAAAGATGAGCGAGAACTTTTCTTGCCTTCAGGTAATCTGGTAGGCAGAGACACGTTGGTAAACATTTGCGCTATAGTGGGATAAATGCAATAGCTAGAAAGTCATGAAAGAGCAATCTCAATTGATGCAGGAGAGAAAATTAATAGACTGAAAATGTAAAATGGATTTAAGAAGAGTAGGTAAATACATTAACACCTAATAGAATATTAAGCAGAAGCTTTGGACTTGCTTCTTGCTCATTCTTTGCTCAATTTAGAGTGATCTTTCCTTCCCCTAAAAGCCGGGACCCTTACCTGTTTTCGACTTCCAGGCCTGTCGCCCCAGCCAAAGTCACCCGCTTTGCCCCCAGTGGAATTAAATAGTACTCATTCACCAGTCTAGTATAAACCTCTTTTTTCTCTTTTCTACCTCTTCTACATTTACCTTTCTCTTTTTGTCTTCCCATGTTTCTCATCTAAACCATATATTTTGGGATGCTGACCTTGGCCAGCCATCTCACCTCTTACATCTTCAGTTTCTTCATCTGAAAAGTAGGGGAAATAGTACTCACCATACAGAATTGTATTAAATGAGAATATGTGTTCACATGTTTTCTAAATGGTAAAACCTACACAAGTTAGAACTCTTTCAGTCAGTTATAATAATGGTATATATGTTGCTCTGTTGTCCTTAGGTTGAACACACACCCAAGCCACCAGCAAGTCTATTGAGTTTACCTCCAAAATATGTCTTGACTTTGTCTACTTCTTTGCCACCATCCTGATCTAAGTCCTGTCATCTCCTGGTTGGACCACAGTAAGTGCTGCTTCCCTCCTTTCCCCCTCTAATCTATCCTCGACACACTGCAGGCAAAGTGACCTTTGTAAAACATGTAGCTCCCTAAGAAATAAGAAACAAGAATTAGGTTAAAGCCCATAATTCTTGCTGTGGCCCAGGCCCTGGATAATTTGGGTTCTGCCTGCCTCTGCTTCTACTTCTTGTGTAGCTCTGTCCCTGACTCACTCTGCTGAAGTCACACTGCACTTTGTCTTGTTTTCCAACATGCAGAGTAGTTTCTAGTCTCAAAGGTTTTGCCTGGAATGCTCTTTGAATGACTGGCTGTTTCTCATCCTTCTGGTCTCAGTCTTAGTGTCATCTCTTCAGAAAAGCCTTCTTGAAGTTTTCCATCCCCCATTAATGGAGAACCCTATTTATTTACTTTCTAGCACTTATCCCTATTTATAATTTTTATTTATAATTAATTTATAATTTTTATTTATTACTTATAATATTTTTTTTCTGTCTGCTGCATTAGTATATGAGTTTCAAAGGACAAGTACCTTGTCTGTCTTGTTTTCTACTGTATTTCTAGCTTCTATGGGCCTGGCGTATATATGTGTTTACTTCCATTAGTTTTGGAAGAGTGGGCCCAGGTGATGGACCTAATTATCACCCATTTTATATTATTCTCTGATTAAAGTATTATCTCCCTAACGGGATCCTGAGGTACTTGTGGGTATAAGCTAAGACCTATACAGTTTATATTTGCTCTCTGCTCATAGTAGGTGGTTAACAAATACTGAATTGAATTGATAATGATTTTTAAGACATATGTTTAGTCTTTTGAAAATGTCTCGTTGAAGGTGATTGCCATGTTCTCCAGCAGAATATTCACTGATGTAGAGACAACTGGGATGGACTGATCTGTGTTTCATTTATGGTCATTCCCTGTCTGGTCTTCCCAACAGACCCTCAGTCTTCTGGGTTTGAGTGTGAAGATGCTTAAAGAGCGTCCTGAGATGGCAGAAGTTCCTCAGCAGCAGATGGGTGTTCCTGTGGTAAAATTGGAGAAAGAATTGCCATGGGGCAGGGGAAGGGAGGACCCTAGTCCTGAGACTTTTCGGCTGAGGTTTCGACAGTTCCGCTACCAGGAGGCAGCTGGTCCCCAGGAAGCCCTCAGGAAACTCCAGGAGCTCTGTCACCAGTGGTTAAGGCCTGAGCTGCACACCAAGGAGCAGATCCTGGAGTTGCTGGTGCTGGAGCAGTTCCTGACCATCTTGCCCCAGGAGTTCTATACCTGGATTCGGGAGCATGGCCCAGAGAGTGGCAAGGCCCTGGTGGCCATGGTGGAGGACTTCACAGAAAGAACACTGGAGGCCAAGGCGGTGGGTGAGAAGGGGGTCTCAGGTCTTCTTTTGTTGGTGTGGTGAGGGCAGATTTAAAGAATTGAAAGGTTTGAGGAAGTGTGGGAGTGAGTTAAGTGCAGAATCTTTCTCTGCTCTTGTATTCCCAGAGGTACTTTTTTGGGGGGGCAGTGGAGTTTTCAGCAAGAAAAGCCATTCCCAGGGATTCTTTTTTGGTCATCAGGACAGAAGCCTTACCATATGTCCTTTGTGAGCTTCAGGCTCAAAGAAGGCAGTTGTGATGGATTTCAAGGTCCCTCCTATACCCATTCCTCTTTGGGCAGAGCTGCATGTGGGAATTCAGGGAAGTCCACTTGGTGAATATTCTCACTGAGAAGAGTTGTCTCTAACGGTACCGTTTCCATGTCTTGGACGCTGGCTCAAATGACTCACATAGCGATTCTGTGGTGGTGTTCTGGTGACAGCAAATAACTGCACTGCAGATGCTTCCTTGAGACTTTAATCATATGTGTTACTCTCTGATACAGCCACCTAATTGTTGACTGGGAAAGAAGAGAGCAACTTTTTCTCACTAGATAATTCATTGCAGAGTCTAGGCTTTGTATTTTTTACTTTCAGCATCTGTAACGGGGGAAATTTTTTCTAGTAGCGAGACAATATTTTGGCTCTCTGTGATGTTATTCATGGTAGAATTTGATCTGTATTGAGGCAGACAGAGGGGACTCTTGTAAAATGGCATAGACACATAAAAGTTGCTCAGAGCTTGAGAAAGGGAGGCTAGCTTCCTTTTCACCTCACTGATGTCCTGGCGAAGAGCTGAGCCAGCTTGTCCTTCTTCCCTTCTGCAGCTGGAATGATTCTTTAATTGGCTCTCTTTTTAGGTTTTATTCAACTTCCTTCATAACCAGGCCTCATTCTAAATAGATTTTGGGGCCTGTTCTTAGGTTCCATGCCATGTGCAGGGAGAACAGGAGGAGACAGCACTTTGCAGAGGCCCTTGGGAACCAGGTGTCCACCTGGGACCAGTGGAGGTCAAGCCTGAGTGGGGGCTGCCCCATGGGGAAGGCGTTCAAGGCCTGGACCAAGGCACCGAGGAGCAGCTCCATCAGGACCCTGGTACTGGGACGCAGGCCTTCCAGGAGCAGGGTAAGATGCAAACAGTAAGGAAATAAGGGCATAGGAAATGGTGCTTTGTGCCCTTTCCCTCCCCCTTTTCTTTACACACCTAGCAATTGATAAACTAAGTTACCTGCAAGGTGTAATTCTGAGTTTTTCTGGCTACTTCCTTGACTTTAGTAGGAAACAGATGAAGTGAAATTATTTTCTATACTGTCACTTTTTGATTTCTGCAGGGGATATCTGGGATCATGCTCTCTTGTCATTTGTCTCCTTTCCCTCACATCCCTTCTAGAAACCATCAGGAAATAAGCAGTTGACATGTAGAGATATTTTTAAGTAGGCAGACCAACGATATCCTTAAAAGTAATGTGTGACTTGTTGTGTTGCTGACTCTCAAAAGGAGTTATTTTCAGTGTAGGGAGCATGCATAGTCCTGAAGGGACAGGGTCTGTTGGGGTGGGACCATCTTCCCAGCTAAGAACAGGGTAGGGTACACCCAGACCCCTATCTGTGTGGAGTCTTCTTTTGGTTCCTGGGGTTCTGTGTGCCAGCAGTGGACACCTTTGAATGAGCTAACTGTAAGATAGTGCTAATCCTGCTCATGCTTTTTTCTCCCTGTTCAGCTCTACCAATTCTTCAGGCTGGTCCTGGCCTTCCCCCAGTGAATACCAGAGACCAAGAGATGGCAGTTGGGTTCCTTACAGCTGGGTCCCAGGTAAGTTGTGCCTCTACCCTTCTGGTCATCATGATTGAGGTTCACTTTCTCCAGGAATTCTGTGTACAACAGAGCTCCATCCACAGAGTCGAATTATTTTACCTTTCTTGTTCTGATGGGCTTTGCTCTCTCCACTTCACTATCCTCAGTTAATTTGAATTGAGCCTATGCCTTATGATTCAGACATAAGGCTCAATTCTCTGGTTTGTATTACTCTTTGAGTTTTGTTTTGTTTTTAATTGATCCAGTATTACTCTTTTGATAGTAAGGAGGGCATTGTTCATAGAAACCCCATAGGCCTGATCTAGGCTGTGGTTGTTGGCCAGGAGATCGGTAACCCTTTGTGGATAGCGCTTATGGATACTTCTGTGGCTGCTCTTCCTCTGGACTCCCCACACCCCATGTGAACAGGGGTGTAGATCACTCAGGTTTGGGGCCTCTCAGGAGTGCTGAGCAGAGTGATCTGTCTGGCCCCTACTTTGGCTATACCAGGAGTTTCAGTCTTGTTTGCACTTTTTAGCCTGCCATAAGTGGGGTAACTAGAGCAAAGATGGGGCACTCTTGCCACAGTGTAAGTCTCTTCCATGAGATTACCAGGGAGGTAGGGGATTTCCAGTGTGGCACCTTTCTGAAAGGGACAATGAGTCTTAAAGTGAAGAATTTCATTGTAGAAGGAAAAATGTCATTTGGCAGAAAAAAAGAAGTGAGTCAAGTCTGATCTAGCTAAAGCAGAATTGGGCAAGGTTTAATGCGTATGTCATTGCCTGTTCCTGTTTTCTGTGGATGGGGTTTGAAGAAAACCCAGAATGACAGCAGCGTGTTTTAATTTGGTCAGCCCCTCCTCGTCTACCATAATAGTTCTTCATGGTGTTCTGAAGGACAGTGCATTTATTTTAACATGGCGTTGTTACAGGGCTTGCCCAAATGTTTTTTTAAATCTCTGAGGGAAACTTAGTTTGAGATGAGGGATAAAGCAGCTCTCAGGCTTGATCAAGCTTCAGGATTGAGTGGAGGTGATTGGAAAGTAGAAATTGGATGCTGTGTTTATTAGGTACAAGCTAAGCATCTGCAGCAGAGACTCAAAAATAAAATGGCTCAACAAGTCCGTTACTCTTTGTTATTAAACTGTTGAGAGGCAGGCACTTCTGCTCCCAAGGCCAGCTAGGGGCCCTGGTTCCTTCCATCTTCTTGCTCTGTTCTTCCCTAGAGTTTTGATCCCTGTGGTCTCTCTGCTTTTAGTTTGCTACTACTTCAGGATTATTTCTGTATCCATAGTAGTCTCCTGTTGTTTCAGGGGTTGGGACCATTTAAAGATATGGCTCTGGCCTTCCCAGAGGAAGAGTGGAGGCATGTGACCCCAGCCCAGATAGACTGCTTTGGGGAATATGTGGAACCACAGGACTGTGGGGTCTCACCTCCAGGTAAGACTGTTTCCATCCCACAGGTAAGAAACGGAGGCATTTTGGAAGCTTCAACCTTGCCCCCAATTTCAAAACCTGGTGCTATTGACACAGGAAGGGGATTTCATGGCAGATGAATAAATGGGACCAGAGAAAGAACATGGACCAAGGGTGTGGGAACTGGCTAGGCGCATTCCTGTGTCAGGAGAGGAGCAGGCAAAGGCAAGAAAACACGAGGTAGTTATTCTGTTTGTGATGAGGAAGGTTGGTCATTAGGATTTCCTGAGCCCCTAATCTTGTGTCCGTGATTGAAGGGTTCTGAGGGCTTGAGATCAAGAGAAAGGCAGCAAAAGATGGATCCTCTGATCTTGTTCATTCAGCATGTATTTATTGAGTGCCCCCCTCGGTAGGCCCCACATTGGTAGCTTTGTGTTGGGGAGGACTAATGTACATGAAACCTTTGGAGCATGTAGAGTGGTCTAGAGGAGGGCATGAGAATGCACGGTAGGATTTTGGAGAAAGGAGGAGTGGAAGTGAGCCCGTGTCATAGAGCAAGCAGAGCCTTGGTTTGGCTGATCTCATGTGGCTGGGTTTTTACCTGAGGTGAGAGCTAGGAGGACTTGGTCATCATGCATGTGAAAAGAGCTCATAGGAGGAACAAGAGAAAAGAG